CTGTATTGTATAACAGAACATAGAGCTACAGTACTGTACCATACAGTACAATCAGCAAAGTTACAGTATTGTATAAACAAGGTGTACTGTACCAAAAAAAGATATTGAGGCTCTATAAACAAGATGTATAGAACTGTACCAAAAAATGGATTGTAAATTTGACCAGTGAATGTTAAGTCTGAACAGTGTTCTCCATCATAAGTTCACATGGTCATTAAACAGATAGGTCATTAAATGAGGAATACTGTACCTGTATACCCAGCTGACTTGACAATCTTGCAACAACAATGTACTGGAAGACAAGCAGTCTTTCTATCAATTAGTGCTGGAACAATATGATATCCATAGTTGAAAGAAAAAGAAAGACAGAAAGAGGAAAGAAAGAAAGAAAGAAAGAAAGAAGAAAGAAAGAACTTTGACCGAACCCTTGCACCTTATTCAAAAATTGACTCAAACTGGGTCACAAAATTAAGAAGGAGAAAATTTTCAGGAGATAACACTAAGAAAAGTTCTTTGATTTGATATTAAAACCTCAAGCAATAAAAGGAAACTTGATAAGTAGGACCAGATAAAAATTAAAACTTTTATTCTGTGAAAGACCCTGTTAACAGTATGAGAAGAAGAAATATTTGCAAGTCACACATGCGAAAAAGAACTCATTTCTAGAATATATAGAAATCCCAATGTCTGGCAGTAAAACAAACAAACAAAAAGTCAAACAATTCAACTAGAATATAAGAAAAATACTCTTACTCCTTGCTATAGTTTGGAACTTGAATGTCTCCAATGGCCCATGTATTAAAGGTTTGGTCTCCAGCCTGTAGTGCTGGTAAGTGGTGGGAGCCACTTAAAGGTGGGATCCTAATACAGGAACTTAGGTCATTGGAGACATGACCTTAAAGGAGACACTGGGATCCCAGCCCTCCTCTTTCTCTCTCTTTACTTCCTAGTCTCCTCCACCACATACTCCTGCCATGATGGACTATGCCACCACAGATTCAAAGCAACAGGGCCATGTGACCATGGCTGAAACCTCTGAAACTGTGAGCCAAATTAAATCTTTCCTCTCTTCAGTTGATTTTGTCAGGTATTTTGTCACAATAAGAAAGCTATTTAACGTATCATCTAAGATGGTTTATAGACCTCACATAAGCACAAGAAATGATGTTCTTTTCTACATCACTTGCCATTTGGGAAAAGCAAATTAAAACCATAATAAGATACCACTATGGAACTATCAGCAGAGCTAAAACTAAAAACACTGACAATATCAAATGCTGTTGAAGATGTGAAGAAAATAAATCTCTCATACATTGTTGGTGGGAATGGACAAAGGCACAGCCACTCTGGAAAATAGTTTGGTCATTTCTCATACAATTAAACATGCAACATGCCATGTGATCCAGTAATTACACTCAGACATTTATCCCAGAGAAATAAAAAATTTGCACACAAAAATCTACTCACAAATGTCCATAACAGCCTTACTTGTAATAGCCAAAACTGTAAACAATTCGAATGTCTTTCAATTAATGAATGGTTAAACAAACTGTAGTACATCCACTTGGTGGAATACTATTCAATAACAGAAAGAAACAAAATACTGATGCATGTGACAACTTGGATAGCTCTTTAAAACATGCCATTATGCTGTGTGGATGAAACCAATTTCAAATCGTCATACACAGGGTGATTCCACTTCTTAATCCTGAGGGCTCCATGAATACACAAGTGTGATAAAATGGCATTACATTTTACATATACATTGTACCAACATCAATTTCCTAGTTGTGATGTTGTACTACAACTGTGTAAGGAGTCTTTGGAAGAAACTTGGTCAAGAGTACACACGATCTCACATGTACTTTTTTAAATTTGTGAATCTATAATTATTTAATTATTTGAAAGCAAAGAGAGAGGCAGGAAAGAGTTGGGAGGGAGGGGTAGAGAAAGAGAGAGGGGAGAAAAAAGGGGAAGCCCTTGGGAGAAACAGTATCAAGTTTGTTTCAATGGAGAAGGAATTTTCACTTAGTAATACAAATAACATCACATGAAGAAGCAGCAACTTCCATCTAGAGATTCTCCATCTTAAAACATCACTCAGTGCCCACCCTCCTCCTGGACTCCCCGCACTTGACTTCAATAACCCTGGTCTTCCCTCACATTGCTAGCTCCTTCCCTCCCACCTTAGCTGTGTTCCACCTGTTCATTTCCACACTGCCTACCAATTTCTACTTTGGGTTGCAAATTATACACCACCTCCCTTCCCCTCCCCATTACAAGGTGACTAATCAGAGGAAGTCATCTTTCTGGCCAGGGGTGGGCATGTGACTCAAATTGGGCTAACCAAACTCTTTTCAGGAGTTTGCTCTGGGGCCTCTGCAATTACAGGCTCAGAGTGAGCCCTTAGCAAACACCCTACACAATGTGTTCTACATAATATTTCAATCGCAGGGACTAACCTGAGTACTAGAGGAAGAAGCTGTGTGAAGGACAGGTCACATGCCAAGTAAATGCAAGGCAAGGCAAGAAAGGTTTCTGGGGAGCATTCCAGACAGCCCATGTTCTCTTGCAGGGGCCCTGCACCTTCAGGTGGACCAGCACCATGGCCACATGATTACTGCCAGCCAAGGAAACCTCACGTGCCTCAAACAGCTTCCAGGACAGAAAGGTCTGCCTCCTCCTCTCTGGGAAGGGAGGTTACAGAACCACCTGCTGTGCAGGGCATGGGATCAGCTGAAGAGCACCAGGACTTGGGGGATATAGTGGAGGATCCTCTTTGCAGAGAGAGGTCCAGGATGGAGGGACTGAAAAAAGTGTCACGGGGGAGACCAGAGTCAGAGAGTGGGCAAGGCCAGGGAAGGCCAAATCCTGGGCCAGACCAGCCTCTTCTGAGGAAAGAGAAGTTGGGTGGGAGGTAGAAGAGCTGAGCCAAAACCCTGGCCTGCTATCTCCATCAAGTTTCTAAGCTATGCTCAGTGCCCAGAAGCTCTACTAGGAATGGAGCCTCAACACTCCAAGGCAAATCAAGTTTGTTCTTTCTGTCTCTCTCTCCTGCTCTTTCTCCCTCTCCCTCCCCCTCCCCCTCCCCCTCCCCTTCCCTCTCTCTCCCCTCCTAGGCACATCAAGCTGAGCAGAGCTGGCAGAGCAATCTCTCTGCCCTTCCCTGGTCACCTCACCCTGCTGTCCTCAAGGCTTCACTTCTCCCTGCCCTGTCCCTGGCTCCCAGCCCCCTGCTGCCCTGGACAGCCAGGCCCAGCCAAGGCCAGGCTGTTTTGGAAAAGTGCTGGGAGGTGGCAGAATGTGCGGTCTCCGAGTTCCCTCCAAACTGGCGCCCCAGTCCCTGGACAAACAGTATCCGTGTTTGCTTGTCCACAGCGGCTTGTGTTCTTCTTCCAGGCCAACAGATCCCAAAGGCAGAATGCTGGCTGGAGGTGGGTGGGCAAGCAGAAAGACATCATTGGCCCGCTGGGCCCACTGGGGAGAGGCATGCACAGACAGGCAATGAGAAGGTCAGCCACCCACTCACCCATCCTGCAACAGGGTGGTCAGGCCAAGTGTGACCCAGGAACCACACTTCCTTCACCTCTGCTGGCCACACAGGACATTCCTCCAGGAGAGCTGGAATCTACACTCTGAGGAGCTGCTGCCTTTCCCTGGCAGTTTCCTAGAACTGCTGCTTCTTCCTGATGCTGATGCCTGTCTGAGAGAGAACTGAGGATAGGCATGCAAAGGGTGGGCCCCTGTGCATCGCTATCATCCCTCCACTTCTCTGTGCCCTTAGGCATGTCACTGCTATTCTACAATTCTGCTTTTATGGAAAATAAGGGAATCCTCCAGTTCTGCTACCCACCTAGCTCAGGGACTGTAGAGGATGAGGATGGCTCAGTGGGGACAGGGAACGTTGGAGCAGAAAGACAGTATAAGGCAGAGACAGGGGTAGCCAGGGCCTGCTGCACCTCCTGCCCAGGTGGCATTATCAGATATCTGGGTAGTTGGCTCTGTGATGTGGGTGAGGTGAGGTCTTGTGTGCCTTGGCCAAGGTGCTCTGAGCCGAGTTTGGGTCTGACTGACTACACTGAAAAGAAATTTTGCAGCCACAAAAGGTTTTTCCTCAAGCTAGCTCAGCAGTGGACCTTCCCTTCCCAGACTGTGGCCAGGGCATAGAAGAGAATAGGACACTGACAGTCCTGCCTGTTCCTAGCATGCAGCTTGAGATGGAGCAAGGGTTGGGAGCAAGGCTCTGTCTGTCATTGACACCCCCACATCCTAAACCCTGGGTCTCTGGGACTGTGGTGAACACTGCTTGCCTCAGCACTGGAGGTGGTGCCCTTCCCTGGTCCCCACCTCGGGCCTCTGTGAAAAAGTATAATGGCCAGCCAAAGACCACAAAGTTTCAGTCATCAAATAGGCTTGCAGAATGTTATCACCTGTGTCCCCTGATAGTGCACTAATACTTAAGCTATTCATCCTGGGGCTCAAGGCTCTGAGAATTCCTGCAATACAAGAACCTGCCTAACTTGGTTTTTCACCTGTTTCCCAAACTTATTTGATCAAGGGGTCTCTGGTCCTGCAACACCCATGAGAAGTGCCAGCATGGGGTACCAGACCAAAAGACTGGGGGATTCTGGACATCAGTATCCTTACTTAAACAAGAAGGGCTTCAAGGACAGGCCCTCAAAGCTCTGGGTCATTGTGTCTTGCCCAGAGACACCTGGCACAGCCAGTCACAACCAGTCAGCCTTCCCACTGTAGCAGGCCAACCCTCAACATAGTTTCCTCCCCAGGGAAACTGACTCCTCCCAGGACCCTGCCATGGGCTCCTCTGTACCTCCACACAAAGAATGGGCAGCTGGCCTCTTTAGACAAGAACTCCTAGGCAAGAATTTTTTGCCTCTAGGCAAGAACTTCCCAGCATTGCTGATGTGAACATCAGTGGCCATGGAGGCTCTTTTTAGAGAGGTTGGAAGGCAGAGACAGACAGATAAAAGAGACAAAGGTGAGTCCCCACGGTTTATTATGGAAGCCTATAAAAGAGCCACATTGAGTATTTCCAAAATCACAAAATACACAACATTCATTTTTTTAATATGTAACATGGAATATTATATACAGACTAAAACCACATGACAGCAAAAACACTCACACGGCACCAATTTCATATCAAAACAAAACACACAAGTGCTTTTTCAATATTAAAACAACTGTGATAAAAACATATTAATATTTTGACCATGTTTTACAATAGAGAAAAATTCATATTTTACTAAATAACAAATATTTAACAGCAAAAACTTTATACTAAATATCTATTTTGAATTATAACAAAAATAGTACTTATAATAGTTTATAAAGACAGACACAAAATTATAACATTTATGAAAAAAAAGTTTTGTGTATAAAATAATATTATAGTGATCCAGGCAGGGTCAGGATGGTGCCCAGAACATAAACATCAGCGCCCAACAACGAAAGTGCTTCATTTTGCAAGCCTATGGCAGGAATTCTGTGGAGTTTTGTCTTTTTTAATATCAAGTTACAATAGTTAGGAATAGTGAGAAAACATCGCTCATCTAATGCTACCGCTATAGAACACACACACACAAACACAGGGACAAAGAAACCTCAGCACACATCTACAGAGGAGACAGAGGGAGCGCCCTAGCGGAATCCTGCAGGCCAGTCAAGAGCTTTCCTCACTCCTCTTCTTGTCACCTTCAGACCCAGCTTGGCAAATGATCCTTCCTTCCTCCTTCACAGGGATCCCCTCCACTTTTCCTTCTCCGCCCCCTCCCAGGCTGCCCCCTTAGAAGGCCACTGAAGAACCTTCCAGCCCCCTGCCCCTCACCAGGGCCAGACTCATCCCATTCTTAGCTATACAGTCTGCAACAGCTGGTTGAGGGCAAAAGGGATCAACTTAAGGTAAATAAACCTTCCAGACACTGAGCTCTTTTTGCGGGTAACAGATTCTGGTATACTATACAGCTATTTTGCAAGCTTTGATGAGTCTTTACACATTTTAGCCTGTCTTTTATACTTGGGAGGGGGAATTGAGGAGGGGGAATTGCAGATTTTTTTTAAAAATTCCAAACACTTTTGCCAATAACACCTGTTCTATACTTGCTGTTCAGTAATGAAAAGTGGGAAACAAATGAAATATTTGGGGATGGGGGTTACAGGACATTCTGGGTGTGTCTGTAAAGTCTGTAAGTCACCCTCTAGAGAGTTGAAAGTGGATCTGTTGGGGGTTTACCCACTGGACACCATGGTGGAGGAACTGAGCTTCTCAGAGCGGTAGCTGGGGATAGATATTTGCTGCATTCTTCTGTTTTTGATTTTCTTGAAAAGAGGATTCATTGCTATTACAACATCCAAAACCAACAGAGAAACACAGAAAGCAAAGAAAAATCTGAAAACAGACAAAATTGCTTACAGACTCACCAAAGGCCCCAAACTGTCCCCAGGAGGTGTCCCAAACTGCCAATTCTTAAAATGCCAGTGGCGGGAGCTACTTCTCTTTCAACCAGTCATCCTGACTGGCCTGTCTGCACCCAAATCACTTGTGACAAACCTCACTTACCCTCCTCCTCGGCTTGCTGCAGCCTCTCCCGCAGTCACCAGACCACACAGGGCTGAGTCAGTGCTGAGGAAGGACTGTCTCTACCTCACCTTCCCTTTGCTCTCACTTCCTCCCCACACCCCAGAGCTGGGCTCAAGCAGACAGTGGCGCAGAAGTGGAAGGGACTTCAGAGACACCTTTCCAAGGGCTAAGGGCAAAGAGCAAGGTTAGGAAAGGAAGACAAAGGCCCTGGAACCCCGTCAGAAGAAAGAACCCGTATCCTTCTCCATACTCCCTAGCAGAGCAGGGGGCACTGGGGTGAAGAGTGGCCAAGCTAGAAATTGTAGCAGCCTCCAAATCCCCATGATCAGGGCTTTTGACAGGATGGGGAGGAAGCAATGAGCCACTTTCCTATCTCCAGCAGGGGACAACAGGCAGAGACACTGGACTGTAGTGCAGCAGTAAGGCTCTGAGGTTAAATCAAATAATCTGTCTGGAACCTGCATGGTGGGGGGTGGGGCTAGCTGTTCAACTCTCAGCCAAGGGGGCTGAGTTCTACCAGCAACCCTTTCCTCTTCACTCCCAGAAGTCCTGCAGGGAGACAGCTGAGACAGAGGCTAGCAGATGCAGACGTTTGTTCCAGACCTCAATACAGCCGAGATCACGGGAGCACAGGTTTCCATGAGCTCAGGGCCTTGGTTGGGTATGTGGAGCAGGGAAAGGCCTGGCTCAGTGGAGTCCCATCTTGGGAAAAGTTAGGGATGTCAGTGTACCTGCCCAGGGCCACTAGGGAGTATGCTGGGGAACAGGACTGAGGCTCCTGTGCCCCATGATCAAAGGAGAGAACAAGTAGCAGCAATAGGTAATTTCAAATGTCCAAACTGGCAGGGCTGGAAGGGGGGTGCTCTCCAGGCCATGGCAGCCCCTGCCCCACCCAGGCTGACTAGTGATGGATGACCTAGGACACTGCTCCTCAGCAGCCACACCCCCAGGGGCACTGTCCGAGCAGTAAAAAGATTGCTGGGGAGCTGAAGAAAGTGCCAAGGTTGGGGGGCCTCTTCCCTAAAAGACAAGGGAGGAAAGGGCCCGGGTCAGAAGGTCACAAGCACACACTTAGGCACAGTCCACTGACACATAACACTGGAACGGCATGCGGGGCCCGGCCAGGCCTTTCCCAAGAGCTAAGCTGGTGGGAAGTGGGGAGACATTGGAGAGAGCAGGAGCCAGGAGGGAACCCCCATCCCCAGAAAGGACAGGGTCCTTTTGGTGTTGGGTAGGGTTTGTCAAGAAGGGGGACCAGAGTAGAGCAAGTATGGGGGCCACTGGCCCTCCCTGGTTCAGCCCCCTCCCACACACAGGTTTCTACCTCCACAGCCCCCACTCCCTCTGTGGGCTGACTGAGGCTGGGCATGGGCCCAAGCACCGCTACTAAACCGTGGCGCTCAGCATGGCCTCGGTCTCTGGCAGAATCTTGTTCTGGTTGGAGTCCAGGCCAAAGAACTTGACACTGAGGCCATCCACCGGGTGCAGGACGGGGACCAAGGTGATACGGGGGAAGGTCCGGGTGGCCAGCTCAAAGCGGCTGGTGCTGGCCAGCTCCACTGCCAGCACTTTCAGGAAGAGCTTGGCCAAGTGCTTGCCCAAGCAGGTCCGGACGCCACCACCGAAAGGGAGGTAATGGAAGCGGCCATCCTTGTCTTCACTCCGTGCCTGACTGAAGCGGTCAGGGTCAAACACATTCACGTCTTTGAACACGGGTGCCGTGTCATGGGTATCCCGGATGCTATACATGACACTCCAGCCTTTGGGGATCTGGAAACCCTGGAACAAGATGGAGGTCGGGGAGAGGAGTGGTGAGAACACTGCCTGCCCGCCTGCCTCTTCCCAGAGATACCCCTCAGGCTCCCTAGGCCTGGCCAGCCTCCCCACTCATCGTGCTAGTCCAGGCTCCTATTCATATATGTCACATGTGGCACCCTAGCCTGCCTTCGTCCCACTCTGCATCTGGGACTGCATCTCTCCTAGAGGACTGAAAGCTCCCTGAAATCAACCACCATCTCCCTGCCAGACAGAGGTGCCCTATAGGATCTTTCCCAAAGGTCATCCCAAAGCCCAGGCAGCACCCCAGGAGCCCCTCATCCCCCGCCCCATGGGCCCCAGCCTCACATCAAGCTCGAAAGTCTGCAGCACAGTGCGGTAGCCACCCGAAACAGGTGTGAAAAGGCGCATGACTTCCTTAATAACGCAGTCCAGGTAGCGAAGCCCGCTGAGTGTGTCCAGGCGCAGGGTGCCCTCACAGGGACAGTCACCACTGTGTAGGATGCCCTGGGTCCGCAGCTCCTCTCGCAGCTTCTCCAGCACAGCTGGGTGCTTCAGCAGCTGCATAATGAGTGAGGTACTGGCACTGGCTGTGGTGGCATAGGCCGCGAAGATCAGTTCCAGGGTCCCATCCTGTGGCAGCAGAGAGGGGAGGCACCACTAACAATCTGGGGCCAGCCAAATATGACAGTCCTATTCTGCCAGTGTCCCTAAGGTCATCTGCTAAGCCCTGCCTGCTTCTTATTACCAATTCTGCTTCCCTGAGCCTGAAGTTCAGAGCCATCATGGGCACAGGGGTCATAGCTAGTCCCTTGCTGGGCAAGAAACACACTGCAGGGCAGAAGTATTACCCTGCTGGTTCCTTAAGGTAGGCCTGCCTTTCTCACTGCCAAGTGCTGGGCTAGCTGCAGCAGGCCTGGTCAATGCAGGGAGCTCACAGAAGAAAAAGGACAATCCCAGGAGCTGGGCAGTGTATGTGTATGTGCGGTGGATAACAGGACCTAATCCCTAGATTGGTTGGGCTGGAGCCCAAGTTAGGTCCCAGTATCCCCTGGGGCTGTCTGGCCGCTAGCAGATGGCTTTCCCACTGGGCCTACATTTCCTTAGGTAGTGAATTTGGGAGGAGCAGGGGTTTCAAGGCAGGAAGGAGTCAACAAGCCATAGACACTGAGGCTGTTCAGAGGTATAAAGGGAATTTTTAGTGTCTTTTCAAAATCAGTAAATGTGACTGTCAGCAGGATCAGATGCATGGTGCCCAGCCGCTATCAAGACCCGCTCACCCCACAACTATGGTAAAGTAGGGTGGCCCCTGCACATTCTTCACAGCAGGGCAAGGACACAGCCTTGCTGTGTTCAGCACCCTCCAGCCCAGGTGCATTGACAGCCAGCACTGCTCAGGATGGGGAGAAATGGCCAGGCACTTCCCTACCCAGAACAGACTGTAGGTACAGGTGCTGCCACTGGAGAAGCTCCTCACCTTCAACTCCTGCATAGTCATCTCCTTCCCATGCTCCTTGCTGCTCTCAATGAGGATGTCCAGTGCATCTGAGTAGTCCTTGCCCTGCGTACACTGCAGCTTCTCCCTGATGGCCTTTTCCAGCCCCTTCTGCAGGGTCTGCCGTGCCTGAATGCCCTGTGGGGAGAAGGGACCAGTAACCATAGGAACCATCTGAGCTCAGGGCTGTCAGAGAAGGCTCCAGCCCACACTCCCACTGACACCTCTCCCCTCTGTCCCTCTCCCCTTTGTCCATGTGCCTGTGTGCCCAATGTCCCAGTGGTCAGCACCCCCCTCCCTGGATCCCTTCCAGGCCCTGGGTGCTCACCCGCCGGTAGCCACTGAAGGGCAAGTCAACAGGCAGGGAGAAAACATTCTCCACAAATTGCTGATAGACCTCAAAGAGGTGCCCAAGGTCCTCCTCAGGGATGCTGAAGCCCAGCAGCACCCGGATGGCCATGTGGAAGGTGAGTTTCTGTGCCTCTTGGTACACATTGATGGCCTCAGGCTGACTGCTCCAGGCACGTAGTGTGTCCTGGATCACCAGCTGGATCTTAGGTAGGTAGCTCTCCAGGGCCTCATGGCTGAAGATCTTGGAGAAGATCTGGAGGGTAGAGAAGCAGGCCGAGTTTGGTTCCTAAGCTGACGCAGACCCCACTCTGCCCAGGTGAGATGCAGGGCACAGGACCATAACAGGGACACTTCCATTCTTACTTCCTCCCACTGAGCTCCCAGAGCCCTCCAGGCACAGTTCCCTTGTAGGTCCATTACTCTGAACCCTCATTCTACTCTGTCTGGTGGGAAGGCAGGGAAGACCAAGATTAGATAGAAAACAGCTCATAAGCATTTTCTCAAATCTGGGACCTTCCTCGGAACTCACAGGAACTCACAGGAACTCACATGAACTGTCATCTACTTTTTCAACCCCCAGAAAAGTATGCATATCCTCAAACAATGGCAAAGCCTTGGGGACTGCACAGTCCAGCTGCCACCAAGTCTAGGAGACTGTGGCTATTCCCAACCTTGGCAGGGCACAACAGGGCCTGAATGCACAGAAGCTGTCCTCTCCATTGCAGTGGCCCCTTAGCCAATTCCCAGGCATTGGGCCAGAAGTTCGCAGGAGAAGTGGGCCACAGGTAGGTGCCAAGACGGGGAAGAGTGGGAAAACAGTGAGGGGCTATCCTCCAATAGTGAGAGGGCAGGAGTAACCTAAGGCTAGATGGCAAGCAAGACTTCCTGGGAACCAAAACTGTTCTCATAGCCTGCAAAACAACCATTGGGCATAGATACTGAGAGTTTATTAACAGCTGTGTCATTAGAATCTTTGGTGTGGCCAGCTCTACAAGCAAGGGGATGAGGGCAATAGCTTTCCACCCTAAAAGATCCCAAAAAACAACAGAAGCCTTTTTAATTCCTTGCATCTTCCAGGACAATTTTAAGTAGCCAAGGAGTCCCTGTGTCCACCTCCCCTGCCTTGTGCCCTCCCGATTGGCTGGGCAGCCCCTCCCCCCATCCCCCTGCACATGTTTTTCCTGCTGCTACCCTCAGTGCACAGGAGAGAGAGGATGTTAGTTTATTTACTGACAGCCTGTGGGTCTCCCCTATAACCAACAAACTCCATCTCCCCAGGTCCAGAGCAGAAGGGGGTACCCTCCACAACCAGAGCCAAGGGAAAGGTCATCTGGGAAGGTGGAGAGGAGCAGGGCAATGCAGAGGAAAGAGCCCCCACCCGCCACATGCAAGCCACACACACGCGCCTGCCCCCAAACACAACCACTGCACAAACTGTAAATGTGAGAATTTCCCCTGCAGTCAGCTCAAGGAGGAAAAGGTAACATTTTCCTGGCCTGAGCCCTGCATGGCTAATGGGAGGGCTGGTTTGCAGAAATAACAGTGCTGGCCCTTCAGTGGCCCAGCCAGCATGCACAATAGCACTTTCATTCCGAGATTCCCGGTGGGCAGAGGGAGGAGGAGGGGGCCCAGTGAGGGGCAGAGAAACTGCACTGTTCAGGGCCACTCCAGCTACAAAGGGACAGCTGAAAGGTAGAAGGATGATAGGAGGTCGCCTAGGTCAGCTCAGCCCTAGATGTATTACTCACACCTTGCCCAGTTCTGGGGGCTTCAGGGAATCTAGGTGGGGGTAAGGGTTGATGGTTAAAGGCAGAGTTGTACACCTCAGCTTTTCACTCTGGTGTCCTTAGGATTCCAGGCTTAGCCCTTGGCCAAGGGGTTTTGTGGGGTGGAACAAGCCCTGCTCCCAGAGCTCAGAACTGGCAACTAAGGCCCTGATAAAACAGTAAAGAGGCCATAAGCAGAAAGTGGTGTACAGGAGCTGAGCAGACTCACCAGTGCATAAGACAGGGAGGCAGAAGGATGACTCTGTGGGGAGGCTATCAGTGGGAGAGGAGGCCATACTAGCCCAGAGCTGGCCAGCCCAGCATACACTAGAAGCACTGTCATGGAGGGGACAAGGGGAGAGGGTGGTCAGGCCCCCAGCACACAGGAGACCTGGGCCCAAAGTTATGGAAGGGGACAGGACAGGGGCTATACTCACCAGGACTGACCCAAGTTAGACCGGGTGCCCAGAATCCTAAGTTTCAGGTTAAACTTATGTGACCATGGTAATTCACCACCCCTGAGCCTTAGTTTCCTTATCTGTAAAATGGTGAGGCTGAAAGTGACCTCTTGGCCTCCTTGAAACCCACAGAGCACCTAAACCCCTATACTTATTTGCTCTTGGTAGAAGCTAATCCCTTCAAGCAGCCCAGAGTCCAGCAATAATCAAGCCACCTGGAGAAGTACCTACAAGGCCCCACTTTCATGCCCTACCTGGGGCACCCAAGAGCCTCCACTGTACAGAGTGGCCAAAGGACCTCTGACAAGCCCTGCCTGCCCCATAGGTTACATTCCTTGCGCCCTCTAGTGATAGTCGGCTGAATCACTGCTCTGGCTTCAGGGCCCAAGAGGGCAGGGACAATCCAGGACGGCAGAGGACCTAAGGGGACCTGGGACTGGACAAGGGACTTCAAGGCAAGGATCCACACCTTGGTCCTCAGGTGAGATGGAGTCATGAGCTAGTCTGGGAGTCTGCTGCCATCCTACACCAGTCAGGACTTGAAGCCAGGACCAGGGTGCTTGTCTGGACCCACCTCTGCCTTGCCAAGTGACAGCTAGCAGGTAGCTACTCTTCCGGGCTGGCTCAGTTTCTCCACTGGTTTCATGAGGGCTATAAGTAGATATTCTAAGGTCCTTCTCCACCTACCTGTCCTTTAATTCTCCTCAGAGGCCCCCTAAGGAGGAGAAACTACCCAAATGAGAAGCCCAGGTAAGGCTAGTGGCAGGAAGCCCAGCACTGGGCAGGCTTTGCTCAAAGGTCACCAAGTCCATGCCCCTGCCTCTGGCCGAGCTGTTCAAGAAGGACTGAGGCCTCCCAGGCACTGGAAAGATGCCAAGGCTTCATCCCTGGGTCTGTGCCCACAGTTAGCAACATGGGCACTTCCCAAACTGGGCAGCCCAGAAACCACCGCCCACCACAAAGGACAGATGGAGGTGGAGATGCTGGCCAGGGCAGAGGGAGGCCTGGATTGTGTTAGGGAGGGCTGGGTCTGAGGCCGCAGCCTGCAAAGGTCAGGACTCGGGCACACTGGGAAGATGCCCAGGAGCAGCTCAGTGTGGAGAGAGGAAAGGTTCCGGCCCCCAGAGCTGACTGTCCTGACCACAGTCTTCCAAGGAGCCAGGGCTGCTTGATTTCCCTCTGGGGCTTCCCTGGGAATTCCCAAAAGTGAGCCGAGAATGCCGGACAAAGGTCAATGGGAACCAGCCCAGGGCCAGGCAGAGACCTTCAGAAGGAGCCGCAAGTATGGACTTTGTACCAGAGCTGTTACGGGGGTGGGAGGGGGGTGTTGGGGTGGAGGGGGTTTGTGGACTGGGAATTACCATTCCAGTGTACCTGCAGGAGCTGCGGGGCAGGACAAAAGCAGGAGGGTGGATAACCCTCGGATAATTCCCCAACCCCCACCAGTTTCCCCAGCAACACAAATTCAAGAACCCATATCCCTGATTCTTTCTCTCCCTCCCTAACAGAAGCTGATTCTTCCACAAGGGTCTTGGGCACCACCCAGGGTTGTTAAGGCCTAAATTCCTAATTGTCCAGGCTACGCCTCCTCACTCTTCTCACCTCCCTGCCAGTGCCCCTGGGAGGGGTCACTCTGTAAACCCTCACAGCCCCATGTGGCCAAATTTATTCCTCCCCAATCTACTCTCGGCAGCGGATGGGTGGACAAATGGATGGGTGGCTGCAGGGTGGGCAGGGCCAGAGAGAAAGCCCACTGCCCGGCTGGCCAGTGACTCAGACTGGGAAGAATGGAAGTGGCTGCCCAGGAGGGGTGGGGACCGGGGCAGGCCACCCAGCCAAGCCACTGGAGCCTCAGCCTGCAGAGTGGAAAGAATAACAGAAGGCAGGCGGCCGCTGAGGCAGCTGTCCGCACAGGGTGACGCCAAGGTGTGTATTTTATACTAAGTAAGGAGGGGGACAAAAGGACGTCATCCTCCAGGCTGCCTGCCTTTCCACTGGGCCTTGGCTTCACTCTGAGCCAGTTTCTACAGAGCACCTCAGGTAGGGAAGGGCCAGCCTGGACATCCCTCTCACCAACCTGTGCACATTTCTTCCCTGCATTTGGGGGAACACAGTGTCTGTTCCCCACTTGACTCCAACTCTGATCATTAATCCCATTGGTCTAACTCTTTCACACACACAAGGAAAGCGTCCGGTGGCAGAGGATTGGTTGCACTTGCAAATACCTGCTGGGCTCCTAATTGGAAAGGATTTGCCCAGCTGCTCTTACCCTCTTCCAGCCACAAGGAACCCCCCTTGGAAAGCCGAGGCTCAAAAGGAAAGGGTCTTCCCAAGGCCACTGCACAGGCACAACTGGCCACACCCAGCAGTATGCCTGAAGCCTCTGCCTCTCACCACTCCAAATTCCAAGAATCTGCCCTCTACCAGCCCTGGCAAGCTCTAAACTCATCAAAGTCTTGAAAGGGATCCTCCTCCATAGCCCAACTGATACTAAGGGTGAGACCAGGTATTCTGGCTGATCGAGATTGTTCTCAGCATTTCTCAGGCCCCTGAAGCCTCTTCCTTTAAGGAAAGCCACCTCCTGGTCACATCCTGGGGAACCCAGGATGGATACAGCAGTTAGCACAGGATGCCCTGGCCCAGTGCAGACCCCAGCCAAGCCTCCCTACTCCCTACCAAGGCCATGTGTGTCTTCCAAGGTTGGGAGAGTGAACAAACATCAATCAGCACCACAGCCTTGTATCCCTCCCCACCCTGGAAGGACACAAAAAGGAAGAAGGTGGCCCCCATACCCAGCCCACCCACCCTCCCACTATCTGGCACAAGGACATGAAGAGGGAGGCACCCACTCCCAGAAACGCTGGTGACTGACTGTGAGCTTTCTCCCCCACTGACCTTCAGAGAGATCCGATCCTGCCTCTCTCATCCTCTCAGCAGCAGGTGCTGGTGCTACAGTAACTTTTGGGTGAAGGACTTTAGCTGGCAGAACAAAGACTTTCTGCCTATGCCAGGATCTGGAGCACAGCTCTCAGTAGCTGGGCTGCTTGGCTATGCACCACCTTCCCATCTCATCAAGCTGGAGTTTCTGCCCTAAGCTGAGCCTGGACATGGCTGAGCAACCAGAGGCTGTGCCTTGGTGCCTAGAGCCAGAAGTAGGCTAGCTTCACCCCAGGACCTGCAAACATGGGCATCCTGGCTCTGTCAGGGCTACCTCCTGGCCTTTCCAACCCAACATAAGCCCCAGGTTGCACTGGGTTTCTGAAGTGAGCACACTGATCCTGAGCCTCACCTCCCCCCTCCTCCAGGCCCAGGCCCAAAGGACAGGTCAGTGAGAAACAGGAGGTGGTTTCTTAATCCCTATACTTCCAAAACCTGGTCTCCCACCTCAGCTTTAGGCACAGAGGGTCCTGTAAGCAGGGGCCTGGGTAGAGAGGACAAGAACACTACTGCTGGGTCTCCCCATTTCAGGGACTCCAAGGCTGAATGCATTCCTGAGATGCTGTCCGGGTTCCATGAGGATATCTCAGGGCCAATGTGGGGGATGTATTGAAACTGTTAATCTCTTGGTGCCCAGGTCCAGCCCTATATGCAAAGAAAATGAGAACATGCCCAATCCTGCTTTGTGGGACCAGACACTGGAGGCTTCCAGAACTACCACCAACTCCTTCTCTACCTCTCGGACAATCCTCTTATTCCCACCTGCCCAACCAGACTCCATCCACCTTTCTGGGGCAATACCCCAGCCCCTCTACACACTACATCAGAGAGGTACCATGGCCTCCTTCCCAGCCCAGTTTGGAAAGCGTCTGAGGCCCTGGCTTCCTTAGGTGATGTTGTTAGACTGGATGAGATTTTCTGGACTTTCTCCCTGGGCACCCCACCCGCCCTGGCCCTAGACCACCAGAGCAGCCAGGGCAAACACCTGAAAGTGCAGTGATGGCAGTGAGGAGCTCCCTCCCTACACATCTGGTCAGACCTCCCAGAGAAAGGGTGGGCCATCAGCCCCAATGGAAACAATGATGCTTCTGGTTCCCTGCCAACCTGGGCCCCAGCACACGTGGGCCCCACTTCCTGCATATACATCCTAACTGGGCCTGGCCCTAGCTCAGCAGCCCACTCTCTAGCCAGGCCCTTGGCTGCAGCATGGGCTGGTTAAGGTAGTGTGAGTGGTACCTGGCAGCCACCATTCTGGCTACATGGTAACCTCCAGGCTGGGGTCCAGAAGACTGGCAACAGAGATATTCAGAAACAAGGCCACTGAGTATTCTCTTCTTATCCCTCCCAAAAGGTTTACTTCTTGAGAGCAAGAATGAGGTTTCCTGCTTCTCTGAATTTAAACCAAGGCCTTCTATATAGCTCAGGAAACAGGATCATGGATCATCAATTAGGGAGATTTGAGGGAAAAGATTCTGTAGTTTGACCCGACTTCCCATATGGCTCTAACACATGCCACACAGCAAACATAAAACTAGCACACACAAAGAGGGCCCTCACATGAGGTTCTCAAGCCTCTGTCAAGGTAAACTGACTTCTGGAGATTCCCCACCCCCAAGGAGCTAGAGCACCAGGAGCTCAAGACATGGAGACCATGGATTCCTGGCCATAGTCCTCAGTTTCTCACCCTCATCCCCAATCTTCACTCTTTTGCTCTATGTATTCCTCTAGCACTGTTCATCCGGGGTACCCTCCTTCCTTGTCCCCTCACCTCCAAATGGACAATGCAGGTAAAACACTCCGGCCTTTCCAGGTCCTCCCCACCTGGCACCTGACTGCCTGAGGCCAAGTGAGGCAGAGGGTGGGACTGCAAAGCAACAGTCCCTCACCCTAAAGCCTACTGCACCCCCAAGGTCTCATATTCTGGTCCTGGCCAAGCTGTCTTCTTCCAAGCACCCAAGTGCACAGGACTGATTAGGACTCTACTTCTGTTGCAGACCCCCCAGCCTTTACTGCTCAGCTTGGTCCAAGTCTGACTCAGCCTAAGTCTCAGTGTCCCCTTCTGTGTCAAAGCCTCTGTAAGGGGGAAATGAGGAACCAGTCATATCATTTGGCATTTGGCCCTGAGTTCCTGATTCCCAGTTCTTTCCTCATTCTTTTGAATAGGTCTTTGGTGGAGTCCCAGAGACTAAGGAGAAAAATCACCGTGCAAATAGGAAAATCCCTTATTCTTAAATTTACAGGGCCTCCCAGCCGCTCCTCCAGAACACCTTTCTCTTTTCGTCCCCAAGCAGCTTTAACTGCTTCCAGCTTAGAGCGAGGCAGATGGGAGAAAGCCTTTGGGGGCCCCTTTCCAGTTTCTGAAACACATGCTCTATCGGGGACACGCACACCAGACGCTTCCCTTTGGTTTCTTTTGTCTGCCACGGAGAATTACCCTTCATAGGCATCAAATACTATGGGATGCTTCGGAGAGTACAGAATGATTGCTACATTTACCAACAGCACCTCTCACAGACTTCTGATGGAAGGGCTGCCTCCTGCCCCGGTCCCCTCCTCTGCACTAAACCACCCCTCCAGGAGCTGAGAGACCGCTACTTCCTTTCCTATAGGTTCCAAACCTGGGTAAGTCCTCTGACCCAATGGAAAAACAGAGTGGGGGAGCCCTGCAGCCTCCTTTCTGGCGGCTTCAAGCCCGCAGGCTGGTACCCCGCCCGCCGGCAGGCTCAGCTTTCGGGTTACTGCAGTTCAAACAGCACGTGCCGGCCGCGCTCCCCGCCGTCGCCCCCGCCGCCGCGTCCTCAGCGCCGGGAGGGGGCGGGGAAGGCTGCTCTGCGCACTGGCTCGCCTCCCCTGCGCCTCTTCCAGTCGCTCGGGAAATCCTCAGGATAAACACCCACTTTCTCTTCCTCTTTAAGGGGTGAACCGCGCTTTGATCCTCCGCCCGTGCCTCAGCTGCTCGCCCACCCCTTGCCTTGGCCCCACTGTCCAGTCGGTGCCCGCAGGTACCTCTCCAAGGCAAGGCTCGCCAGTCCTGTCCACACGGTGCCCCCAGCTCCCCAGCACTTGTCTGCGTTGCCCTCAAAGCAACCTGTGGCTGAAAGGCCAGCTTAGCTTTTACAGTGATTAGTCCTCGGGATTCCCCCAGAGAAATGTGGCGAAAAGGGAAGCTTGGGCCAATTGTCCCGCCCCGAGCCCTACTTGTTCCAGTTTTGTGGAGCACTGGGAGGATCAGAGTTGGACACCTCAGTCCTCATACTGTCAAGCTTTTCCCAAGACACTCCCGAACAGGTCCCATTGGCTCTGGGAGTGCCCACTGCGCAGACGGCCAGCAAAAGGGGGAATCAGAAGGAGCCTCTGGAGGCCCTGGATCTGGCTGGCAGCCGTCTAGGCAAGGAGATGCCGGGTCCTTGCGGTTGTTGCACAAAACAGTGTGCGGATCGAAGCGGGGACGTTTCCGGCTCTTTGAACTCCGGACCCTGAGAGGGGTGCAGAAGCAGTCAGTGCTCTTACCTTGCGCTTGTTGCGGTGGATGTCGCCGATGGAGTTGGCCACCGTATTGGGACCCAGCAGCATGCGGGTGCTGCGCGGCCACTCGGTGCTCACGAGATGGTGCTCGCCCATGAGGATCTTGCGCACATTCTCCGCGCCGGTCACGCGGATTAGCGGCCGTCCGAGCAAGTGTGTCTTGAACACGTTGCCATACTTCTCCCTCCGCGACGACTGGAAGCCGGAACCCTGCGGGAGCCACAGGCCAGACCTCTCAGGGCTCATAGAGGCTCTGCCAGGCAGGGGTGGCGGCCCCAACCCGGCCCCAGTCATCTCCCACCCCTTACCCCCTCCTCAGCACACACAGACACAAACGCAGGTTTTATTTTTCATAGCGTGCACAAGGACTGGGAAGTAGGGCCTAGAGGATAATAAATGTGCGAGGAGGCTGGAGGCCCAGGGGCAACCCCTCTCCCCTGACTGTTTTTAGTAATGACTTTCGGGAGAGAAAAGGTAACCCTGACCGCTGGATCTGAAGTTAAGGCCTCCGCCCCCCAACCTCCCACCCCCACCGCGCGCACTCAGGAGCCTTTCGGAATAAATATTTCCAGGCTTCTGGCCACGGGCTGGCGAGACCCCGCGGGGTGGCCGCAGGCCAAAGATTATTTATAGTGGTGAGCGGTCCGTGCCTGGAGGCAGTCACTAGAATTGGGGGTTGGTGTTTCCTCCGTCTCCGGTGTGGCCCGCGCAGGGACCTGGCGGCCCTCGGAAGGCTCTGCAGGGTGGGGTCATGGGCCGAGAGCCGAGATTTTCCTAAAGCATTTTGCCCTGGAAATAACTGAGACGGACTTTCGTCGCCGCCCTGGAGTTTGGAACCCGAGCGCGGCGGCGGAAGGCGCTTCCTGCCGGGTGGGGTGGGACCAGGCGGGGCGACCCGCGCAGGTAACCGGATCCCGGGCGGCGGCGGCGGCGGCGGCGGCTCGCTCCCGGGATCGCGGGGCCCCGGGCCTGGTCCCAGAGCTCTTAGAAGCTGGCGGAGCGCTCAGCACGCGGGCACCGGAAACCGAGGGGACTTCGGAGGGGTGGTGGCAGGGGCGTCTCGCTCACCTTTCACGTCGGTACTCGCCACCCCAGCCCAAGTTAACCCTTCTCCTGCAGGTGAGAAAGGCAGGGGCGACACCTGTCTGCCTCACCTCTTGACCTCCAGCGGACTTGCGCTCTCGGCCTCCAGAGCCACCCGCTAGGTCATGCAACTCCCGAGGAGACAATGCAGCTCCCTTTTCCCCGGGTTTATCTCCCTCCTCATTTTTCCTTTCTTCCACGAAAAGCTGTTCTCCAGCTAGATGTGTATACACCCCAGCCCAGCGAAAAGTGACTCTGCAGAACCCGGATTCCTAATCACTTTTCCACATGAGCCTCCGGCCCCGGCGCGCGACAGGGAAAGAGCCGGGAGCTCCCCAGCCGCCGAGAGGGGGGCCGGGCAGCGGGGAACGCGGCCCCACTCCCAGGCTGGAGGGTCGGGAAGAGCTCCCCCCACCGCGACACCCTCGTAGACGGTGTCTACCCCTTTAAGAAAAATCTAGGCGTAGGTGTAGTGCGAGAGAGGAGGGTGAAGAGAGGGGTTCCCTCCTCAGTCTGCTAAAGGGTGTCCTAGGCTTCGTCTGACTCTCCCGTCTCTCTTCTTCTTTTCCTCTGTTTTTCTTTTCTTTAGACACAAAAGTTGGGTTGTGAATTTTCCGAGGTTGCCGCCGCCTCGCCCCCAGCCCCCGCCTCTGATCTACCTAACTATAATTAAAGTGCGTTTTTTGTGGCATTAATAAAGAGTTATTTGTCCGCCGTTTCCACGGTCTTCACAAAGAAGACTTTCATAGGGGCGGCCGCTCCGGCCACGAGTCCAATTTATACAAAAATGTTGTATTTTTAGCCCTGGGCTCTGTTTAGATGGCGCTGGATGGAAACGGAGAGCCCTTGGAGGTCCCCCCGTAAAATCTGATAAATGACTCCGAAAAAAATTACTCTGGGATTCAGAGGGCTCCCATTAACCCTTTCAGCACCCTCAACATGCAACCCCCAAATGCATCCCCACCCCCGCAGGATCTAGGGCCCTGGGGTGCAGGGATGGGGAGAGGTTGGGGTCTCTTCCCCAACTTCCGTGCAGGCTACAAGCAGACCCCCAGAGGCCATGGGGGGGGGGTCAAGAGGACATGACGGGGCAAAGAAAGGTCAGGAAACGGGATGGGGGGATAGACCGTGAGTGAATTCTACAGATTGGCTCTAACAAGGTGGGAGCTATTGCTTATTTAAGTTATTTTATTTTCTAAATTCGCGGTCAAAAGCCTAATCCACGCCGAAGTTAACCCTTTGTGTCAAGGAGAGGCTCTGAGGATTTCTTTTCGAGGGATAGCCCTACTGGTTGAAGCGAACCCCACCTCATTGGACAAACACCCTCAAAAAGACCGACTCCGCGATGGGGAAGGCCCACAGCATAGAGGAACCTGGCCCACCCACCCATCCCACCTGGCTCGCTGTCACTTGGCCCTGAGAGGGGCGGGGCGGGTGTGTGCGCTCTCCCGGATTTCACGCGTCTGTTAATTTCAAGCCAAGCTTTCTCACCTTTAAACCCACAGGTCCCCACGCTCACCTTTCCTGTGCCGAGACTGTCCGTTTCAGGATATGCAGGCTTCCCCTAACGCACATCAGCACCCACTGGACGAACACGTACACTCACACACCCAGAACCAAACACACCTTTCGAGGTTACCCCAGAGGTGTTCCCCCTCAGGAAAAAAAAAAAAATCCTGCTGTGTATCAAATTGCAAAAGCGGCAATCTAGTATTTGACGAGGTTAACTCCATGTTAATCTCCCCATTATTTACCTGGGTCTGGTCCTCGACGTGCCCCACCCCCATGATCACCGGCAGAGTGGGATTGTTTGGCGTCTAACAACACACACACATACACTCCCTATGGATGGATCTCCCACACATCTCTCCCAAGTTTCTTTCTCCTGCTAAACTGTCCCCACCCAATAAGTAAATAGACCCTTTTCCCCGAAAGTCGAGAGCCCTCGGATCTCAGGCCTCTCGTTTTTCTTGGGTTACCTTCTTCCTCTCCCACCACAAAACACCCAAACACTAAGAAGGACCTCGGACCCGGGCTGTTGTACCTGGCTCAGCTGGCTACAAGTCAGAGATACATCCCTGGTCTTAAAGGGGCAATTCAAGTTGACCTTCACGCCATTCCTACTCTCCGGACTCAGTTTTTGGGCCCCAGCTTCACGGTTAAAGCCCAGGACGCTGAGGGCAACTGGGGCCTTGAGCGAAAAGAGCAGGCGACAGCAGCTCAGAACCTGAGGCCCCCTCGATTTCGCGCAGCACGAGGATCCCCTCGGGCTTTCTGTGCACCCCTGCCTGGTCGTCTGCGACGGAGGCAAGTCTGTTTGAGAGTCCTGTCCTGTCAAGGAACCTCTTTTACCAGCCCTTTCAACTGACGCACCGGGCGCCAGTGCTCGCGCCACGCTGCAGGCGGGCAGGAGAAACCCGGGCGGCGCAGGCAGTGCGAGGGAAGGGGCGGGGCGGGGACGAATGCCTTCGAGCTCCGGGCGTCCCTTGGCCGGCCCTTGGCTGGGTCTGCCCGGGCGCTCGCAGCTAGCGGACCCGGGAGAGCGGCAGAGCGAGCGCGCCCTTACCTGTAGCAGCCAGTGGCCCGTCTCTCCGATGAGCGGGAAGCCCATGGAGCCCTTCGGGATGGGCAGCTTGCAGCTCTTGTCGCGGGTAGCAGCCCAGCGCAGCTGCCACAGCTGCTGCGACACGGCCAGCAGCAGCGTCACGGACACCAGGCACGCGGCGAGGGTGGCCAGCGCCGACACCAGCTCCAAGCCCTCAAAGAGCATGTTGGCGGCTGCTCGGGGGATTGGCTGTGCCGGCCGCGACGGGGGAGGGGAGGGCCGGACCGTTGAGGCGGGGGAGGGGAGGCTGCTGCCGGGGGTCCTGGCACCTCCGGCCGAAACAGAAAGAGGAAGGGGCCGAGGGCAGGGGAGTAGAGGCTGCAAGGGGAGACCAGAGGGAGGAGAGAAAAAGACTGCCTAAAAGAAGAGAAAGGAGACTGAAGGCGACTCGAGGTGTAACTTTGTTTGTTTGTTTGTTCCTTTATAGCGGGCCCAGGGGCTGCTCAAGGGGCAGTGAGATGAAGCCGCAAGTCAAGATGTTGGATTTGCTCTCCCCGCAACCATCACACGTGGAAAACTTTGGAAAACTTTGTTCAGCAGGAGCCTCTCTCTCGTAAGCCCTTTCCCCTGCACGGGAAAGAAAAAAAGCTGAAGGGGAACAGAGAGCTAGCGGAGAGAAAATGCGATCGGTTTGTCAAAAGTATTTCCCCAAAATTCCTAGGTGGAAAAAAAATCGGAATCCAAAAGTTCCAATGAACCCAAAAACTTTGGGGGTCGAGGGAGAAGGCTCCCCGATTGAAGCAAGTGGAGAAGCCTGAGCCCCGCGTCCCTGGGCTGCCCCGGGCTGCGCGCCCAAGCTCCAGAGCCGCTGCTGCACCCGGAGGTGGGCGCGGCGGACGCGGCGGCGGGGTGGGCACGGCGGCCCGAGCGCGGGTGCGGAGCGGGCGAGCCGCGGCCGGGAAGGGACTCAGCCGGCGACAGAGCCCCAGGCGGGCGCTGGGGTGGCGGTGGCGGCAGCGGTGGCGGCGGACGGGAGGGGTGAGGCGGGGTGGGGTTGGGGGAGGAGGTGGAAAACCCGAGCTGGGCTATTGTATCAATTAAGAAAAGGCAGTCCGTCCCGGGACGCAGTCTCGGCTCTGGAGTTGCTGCTGGGGGAAGAAAGGGGGGAAAAAGAAGAAAAGGCAAAAGGAATGAAAGAAGGGGGAAAAGCAGGAGGCAGAAGGCAGGATTTCAGGGCTGGTGGTTTTAAAAGCGTCTCTCAATGTGCATTGGAGCCCTAAGCAAGACGATGCGTGTGTTTATATAGAGGCGGGAGGCTGCGCCGTGGGCGCTCCGCCAGCAGCCCCCCCCACCCCCACCCCGCCGCGCGCGCACAAAGCTGGAGGCGTGGTGAGAGGCCCGGCCCGCGGCCGGAGCGTGTGAGCGCCCGCCGGCCTCCCGCCCCGCCCCGCCGCCCGCCGCCCGCCGCCCGCCCAGGACCCACTTGTAGCCGCCGCAGGATCAAACTCAGTTCACCTTTCGCCTCCTCTTCCTTCTCGCTGGCGTTGAGCTGAGCTGGGCACCTACAGACGGACGAGATGAGACACACGCACGCGCGCGCACACACACACACACACATACACACGGTGCGCACTCGCTTAGTGCCCGCTTGGCTGCTAGGCTACTTCCTTTCCACTTTTCCTCCCTCACGGGTCCCGGGCCCCCTCCTCCTGCTTTAGGCGCTCCCGCGTGAGCCATAGTCCCCGCAACGCAGCTCCTGACCAGACTGCCCCCTCGACTGGGGGCTCCAGAAGCCTCCGAACCAGTGTCTATAGTCCGAGGCTCCCATCCCGCAGGATCCCGCAGAATCTTACCTCCTGGGAACCCCGATTTGACACTTTCGATACTCTTACGTCAGGTCCCCATCCCTGGTCCCTACATCCCCAAACCAAGATTCTTCTTTCCTCTCTTCTCTTACCCCACAGGACCTGGAGGTGCCCCGACCGACTGCGCGCCCATCCGCTGTGAGCTCTTTCTGACACCTGCGAGGACCCCCACCCCCCCACCCCGCGCAACCCCATCTTGTAGTCCAGCTTGGCTGCCAGCAGGGATGAAGGAACCTCACTGATGGTCCGGGCGAGTATCTTGCGCTGGGGACCAGCACGGTCACCCTGGCACCCAATGGCAGGAGGAGTCGGGTACAAACGTTCATTGATACAAATGAGTAAATAAACACGCCCGAGTGATCGCGGCTACCTTTTCAGCACCCGAAGAGGCCCGGGTAGGCGTGCCTGTGTGAGGTGTGCGTGTGGCCCAGGGCCGCACCTGTGTGTGGGCCCTGCGCCAGCCCAACGTCGTGGAGTGAGGTTGTGCGTCTGCAGTGCTATCTCTGCAGCTGTTTGTATGTCTGTGAATCCATGCATCTGTCTGTCATTTGGCCTCTTCTCCTGAGAGCCCGTGATGGAGTTATGCACACCAGCCCCAACATCTGTCTGGCTAGTGCGTGACTCTCCCTCCTGTGTGCGTCCTGTTTATCCCTGCATCAGCGTCTCTGTCTCTGGTGTCTGGAACTAGTGGAGCAAAAGATTAGACATCCCACCTTTAGTTTAGGTTGGTGTGCATGTAAACGAAACTAGACTTCCCCTTTAACTCCTCCCCTGCACCCAATATGGGTTCTTCTTTAGAGTTCACTAGAAGAGAATTTGCGTGAGCATCTAAGATGCGCTCATATCCCTGTCCCTCCCTGGATGCGCTCTTGCGAGGTTGACGCCAGCGGAGTTGAGCTGTTGCTCCTAGCTGCTAGCTCTGGGTCATCTCGGCGCTCACTCTCTGCCCTGGAACCCCACCTGGTGGACAATAAAAGTACTACAGATTCAGGGGGAAGCAGTTCCCACTTCCCCTTCCCCAGTCTCCTTTCCTAATGGGAAAACAGCTCCAAAAGGTCTGCTTGTTGGCTCCCAAAGTCCTCCAGCCTCAGCACCCTCAGGCTCCCTCACCCGCATGCCGTTGGGGCTCGGACTCTCACGAAATTCGTGTCAGAACCTCCGTGACACCAGAGATAGAGAGCTGCAGAGCACACTCCACAGGACGGTCAAATCTCGACTGGACAACTGGGCAACAGGAGCATTGAGGCCAGAGCTATCTCTTTCTGGGTCAGATGAGGCTGGAAGAGCTTCCTGAGGCTCTGTCTTGAAGCGCTGAGAATCTAGCCAGATTCCTAGCATTACTTCAAAGTGGCAAAGTGGGCAGGAGGACACTGGGAAATCCACCATGGAGACAGCCATTGGTGAACAGATGGACAGAAACAGCCACACAAGGATGCAAACAGATGCCCAGGCAGATCCTGAGCACACACAAAGGCACAAACACATCGAGGATGCCACAGAGTCAGAAAACACATGCTTCCAAACCACCAACCCGGGTTCATAGGAGGTGCCTGCTATTTGGGCACCAGGGCCTCACACATTCCATTTGCTTCCCCTTTACTTCTTGGGATGGCTTTTGTGTCCTTTTGTTCTACACTGCCTTGCCTCACTCCCTGTCCAGGTGTAGAGTGGGATTTGGCAGGGGAAATGGGAAAGAAATTCTGAGTCGTCCCTACTTCTTAGCTGCCAAGTAGGTTCTGGGCAATGTCTGCAGGGGCATGCAGTCCCACAGTAATGGTTGCTGGATTCCCTAATTAGAACCATCTCCCTGCTCAAGTCCTGAAGAGTTCATAGGTAAAAAAATACGTGGTGGTCTGTAAGAGTTCTGGAGGCGAGAGCAAACGCTGGACCTGTGGAGCAGGCTTGCTAAAAGGGCAGACAGAATGGAGGAAGACCAGCAACTGCCTTTGGCAGTCAGATCCCATCAAAGGACATTCTTTCATTACCCTCAGGTGTACTTCTGACTCTGGCCCCAGACTGAGCCCTGATCCAGATCTTAGTCTGAACCATAACCCTGTCCTAAATCAAATCCTTGAGCCAAATCTGACTGACCCATAATCCTAGTCACAGACTGACCCTGTTGCTGACCACAGACAAGCATCACCCAGGCCTACATTTGGCCAGAGAGAATGTCTGGTCCTTCATGGACTGTCCCAAAGTCTGAGGCTCTGGGAACAGAAATGGACTCCAGATCAGAATATTTCTCTTGTTTTGGCCTGAGAATGATCTGCCTGTTTTACAGCGAACGTCTCCCCCAGGTTGGCTGTAACTAATATCACAGGAACCCCTGGGCATTTTGAAATCTCCCCATGCCCCTTTTCATGGCCCAGGGCACACCCCAGGGCTTCAGCTTTTGTCTGCCTGTGTGAAATTGACAATGCTCGGCAGAGAGGCCTGGAAGAATAGGAGGGCAGACCCTGGGCACTTGGAATAAGCAGACAATGGGCAAAGCATTTTTCTCAGAAAGTGCCTATGAGCAGGGACAGGTCCACCTAAAGTCCTACTCCTTCCCAAAGTATGAAAATGCCTGGAAGTGACATCTGTCCTCAACTTTCTATATCTAAGGTAATGAAGACATTGCTCCTTCCAAGTCCCTAACAATCTCTTCTCCAGCTATTACTTGATTTCATCTCCACATGGTGCTGTGAGGTAATGCTGTTCTTAAGTATCAGTTACATATTACTTATAATATGTACATATTCTTATATGTATTACTTCTTGGTGAGAAAATTGGGGATGGTCCTACCTCAGTATCCCTATTGTTTTATCCTATTCTCTCTCCCACTGACCAGAATACACCCCCCTGAGCCTTGAGACCTGGCCCCACATGGCAGCTTCCCCTTTGTTTAATGTCCTACTTCTGATGACTAAAGCCCACAAAAGAGGAACTTATTGGCTTGCAGTCAATTTTGCACAGTTTTGGTCTTGAATTTTTTCAATGGATGCCTATTCATTTTCTTTTCTTAATTTCTCTCATTCTTCCAATCTGAGCCAAACAAAAACAAGGAAGCCTAGTACAAAGGCAGGGGTGGCTCCCTAAGTATCCAGAGAGCAAAGGGACCAGGCACCAGTGAACGGAAGGCAGGACTGTGTACTCAAAGCAGACGGAGTCTCCCAACAGGACAGCCTAGCCCAAGAGACAAAGCTCGGGATTCTGCCTCAGAGGTCTCACTGCTTTCAGCTGTATCCTACCTCAGTGGTACTGAGATCCCTTGGAAAACTCAGCTGTCTGCTTTTCCTCACTGTCCTGAGGGCCTCAGGCTGGTCTCATTCCTTTCTAAGATCCCTTGATACCCTGCCCTGATAGGCAGGACCTATTGCCGGCAAAAGTCCTGGGACTGCAGATCCTGCCTACAGCCTTCTCCCAAACCAGAGCAGAAACTGCTACTCTAGCAGATCAGGAAGGCTCCCTTGACTCCAAAAGGCAGCTTGTAGCCCCAGATATTCATCCGAGGCCTGTTTGTCTACCCTTCTCCCACTAAGTGCCCTCTCTGATGATCAGTCGCCACAAGGCTGGCAGTACCTTTCAGTACCCAATCCTCAAGGACAGCTTGGAGGACACTCCCTGACTGTGTTCTGGCTATTCTGAGAGGGGCTGGACTCCTGCTGTCCAGGCTGGATGGGGTATTAGGGGTGCAGCAATACAACATAACCCAGCTTGGCTTAGAAGTCACCACAGTGCCATAGATTCTGCCTTTCAGGAGTCCGCAGGGCCACACGATACACTTATCCTCAATCACCCCCACCCCTTCCAGTTTCTCTGAGGCTGTTCAGAGAATTTACTCACCCCTTCGAAATTATCATCTGCCAGAACACCCCCCCCACCCTGTTTTGTGATACTATTCTGTTCTTTGCAATGATACTAAATCCAAAGCTGGGTCCTGGATTATGCATTTATTTCTAAAGGGCTTCCTTCTTTTTCTTTGTCCCTTACTGAGACTTGCTCTCACCCCACCCCCAAGTATCTTCTGATTCTTTTCATTTGTTTTATAGATAATAACCCCTGTCCAAACAGCTCTCTCTGGCAGAGCCAGATGCAGGCATGGCCTGAATCCTCACTCCCAGCCCCTGAGAGACAACTGACCCACTGACCAACCAACCCACCGCCTAGGAGACGGCCCCTCACCCACTCCTTTGCAGCCCTCTGGGAAGGGGGTGGCCCTTAAGAAAGAACTTTTCTGTTTTCCCATTAGCCTGAATATAGAGTGAGTATCACCTCAGATCTCATATCAGACATCTCAGCTTCCACACTTGCTCCAAAAGGAAATTTTTTTTAAGAAGTGGAAATATCCCCTTCCTCCCCTGTCAAAGCCCCCATACCCAGTCCTTCTCCTCCTGCCCCACTCCCAACCCAGCCCAAAGCAATCCAAAAGGGGACTTGCCGATGGAAGATAGGAGGAACGCAGCTGACAGCTGTGTCCAAATCACCACTGCATGGAAAAGAGTAGTCTGCAGGGTAGCGATGGGACACCGGCAGTGCCCCAAACTGGCTGTGGCTGGCAGGGACACTGCTGCAGCGATGGCGTTCTCTCAGGCCCAGGGAGCCAAGAGCCCTTTATAGCCTGAAACCTGCCCTGGCACCGCCCACTGGGCGGTTGCTACCAGGGCCTGCAACTAGGGGAGTCAATAGGAGCCGCAAGGGTGTCTGTCCCAGGACCCCAGGCCAGGCCCCAAAGCACAAGAATCTAGGATTCAGCTTTCTTCCACCCCAGGCAACTCTAGGTCCCGGGGTGTGTGTGTGTGTGTGTGTGTGTGTGTGTGTGTGGGTGTGGGTGTGGGTGTCAGTGCTTAAACATCCATTCAAAGACCTCAGATCTCTTTCCCTCATCTTCTTTCTCTGGCAGTAACAGTTTTTGAAAGGATGGTGAGAGCAGTGTGTTTCTGCTCAGTTTATCAAATTACACTCAGTGACAAAGGACTGAAGTGCATTTTCTTGACAATTGGGATCCAGGAAGAAAAAAGAAAGGCATGATAGAGAACCCAGAGCTTTTGTGGAAGGTAAAACACCAATGTGAAGGGGGGTGCATATGACTGGGTGGATGTAAGTGAATTCGCCTTCATGTTGCCTGGTGTTAAAAACTGCTTCCCCCACCCTCCACCCAAGCTGTAAAAATCCCACAGATCCCAGAAATTGCCAGGTTGTTGATTTTTAAAGGGAACACTGCTCATTTTTACACAGACTGAATCAGATGAGGGGGAGCGTAGCCTCCTCCTGGACTCTGGGGGTCCCCAGGGTGCCCTTCTGAGTCCCTCATGCCAGGAAAGCCTCTGAAGAGAGGTCACTCACAGGGGTACAGTGCCATCTGTGCCCTCACCACAGCCTGTCCAACAAGCTTCTCCT